GCGTGTCTTAGCATGTTCACTTTCCCTCTGGGCATATTGGTGTTTTGCACAAATGTGCAGACTATAGTTTAAAACATTTCATGGCTGTCGTTTTTTTCCGATGGTTCTGAGTGTGGTTCTGAGCCTGCTTTCCGAGCCTGGTGCCGAGCCTGGTTCTGAGTAGTATTGAGTCTAGTTCTAAACCTGGTTCCGAGCCTGGTTCCGACTCGTTCAAAGTCTGGATCTGAACCTGGTTCCAAGCCTGGTTCCGAGTATGGTTCCGAGCATGGTCCCGAGCCTGGTCCCGAGCCTGGTCCCGAGCCTGGTCCCGAGCCTGGTTCTTAGCCTGACCCCGAGCCTGGTTCCGACTCTGGCCCCGTGTCTGTGCTCGGTGGACTTCAGTTTTAGCCTGCTCTGTTCGTTGGCACGAGACATTCTGACTGATAACAGCTTTGGTTTGCAGACAAACTCACCAGACCCCCCCCCCCCCCACGTCGACTCATGCAGAAAAACAATTGGGGAATGCATACGAGACACTTGCCTCTTCGCATCACGGAACGAGGTCTCAATCGAAAGGACCTTCAATTGAGATGAACGCTGGAAAGCTTGCCTTCACATACACAGATATCTCATGCATGGAACGACAGACCTGCTCACGTCTGCAATGCAGTGAGGTGCAAATGTTTTAATGCCAAGTTAGCCAAATGATCTGTATCAGACATACATTTTTACGTAAAACTTTCGTGACTGCAGAAAATTTTAGAGTTTTAAATACTGTAGTCATCTACGTTGTGTCGTGTTATTTGTGATTCTGTTGTTTCAGTTTTGACACCGTGAAAATTAGAGATTAAATCACACAGAAATTGTTTTTTTCTGGAAAATTAGCTTCAAAATAAATTATATATATTCATGGAAAGTATGCTAGTGAGTGTGTATTCACGTGCCATAAAGAATGGCCATTGCCTGAAACGTTTTTGATTCCATATTTTTACTTTTAAGGCCACAGCGTTGTTGACAAACATGTTGAGTTGTTGGTATTCATGTCGTCATGGCTGTCAGTGTCAATATGATTAAAACCTCAAAGGTCAGACTTACTAATGCCGCTAACACCATCTGTAATTCCAGCGATAATCACATTAAACCCCCCACACTCTTTTTCAAGAGGGCCCTGCATTGGGTTGTTCAGCTAATTCTATTCATTAAATGCGTAGCTTCACGTGGGGGGGGGGGGGGGGGGAACCGGAGCATTCGGAGAAAACTCTCGCACACAAGGGCATCACACAGATAGACTCATTATTCCACAATGTACTGCCATCTCCTGGTCACATCGTAGCAGAGATATTTAGCTATATAACCTAAGCGGTAATGGATATCCATTGTAATTGAGATACCTACACTAGCCCCCTCCACCCTCTTTGGCCTTCGCACCTAATTGGCTCAGAGGTGACGACATCTCATTTATCCCTCTGTTTAAGAACGAAAGAGGAAGATTTCTCCACAAATCTGGCTGTCGCCTGATGATGCTACTTGTAATTTCTGCCAAAACGCTGTACTGGAATTGTAAATGTTGTGGGTTTACTCTCCAACACAATGGTGTTCTGGAATGTTCTGTTTACGTGACAAACCTTACTGGTCGAGTGTGTCGGGTGGTGGCGGATTTAACGACACATTCATATTTACGTAATCTAACCCAAAAAACCTCTAATATGGATATTGGTCTTGAGAGCCTACATGTTAAAACATTTTATTTATACAAAGATGCGAAACCTCACACAATTATACTCGTGGGAAATAGCCATCTGGACAACGTTAAAAGCATATGCTGAGGTATGGTTGTGAAAAAGTTAAATTACAACTCTTTATCAATCCTCTGCTGGATGGAGGTCTCGCCACGGCGCGTTGCTCATGGGGACTATAGGTCCCATACTTCATCGCACTAGCGAGACCAACGGCCCATTCAGACATCGCTTGCAACTAATGTTAGCCACGCCTGGCTGGGAATCAAACTCAGATCGCTTGGTTCATAGGGCAGTGTGTTAACCACCTGCGTCGCAATTCCATACCTGGTGCAAAATAAGGCTTAAAAATAGATAATCACTCAATAATTATCACAAACTCAAAAGAAGATTAACTTTTGCAGCAGTCAGCAGAAACGCGTGCTCAACCGCATCGCATGCCGTCAAACACATTTGAAGAATCCGCCGTGCGGAATTGGTTGCATTTCCAAATTGTGCATTTTAAGATGTTCCAGCAAGCATCAGCTTTCACTCAATGGCATATTAAGCAAGTGGGAAAGAGCACATTAATAAATAGCCCGAGTTAAGCGACAAAGTCACGCGTTGTGCCACGTATCCCATAACGAGTTAATTGCAGATGGTCACAGGCTGCAGGGAAATCATGGGCCAGATGCAGCGGTGTGCGTCGGCTTGGCACTGGAGTGAAATCTCATGGGTGGCTCGCGAGGGCCAATTCCAGCAATTAAAAAAAATGTTTAGGTAATAAAAGCCACCAGAAACATCTAAGGGGATGTCAAAGTGCTTCCCGCAAGCAGCTGCTGCTGTTATTCTTTCACTCGGGCTCATGAACGTGTCTCATTTGTCACGTGACATTTTCGGCTGCTGAGAGCAGGCAACAGCCGATAAACGGCCCATTGTTTGAAAATATTAAAACTGACAGCACTTGACATCTCGCACATGCTTCTTGGTCAGAACTTTTTAAACATTTCCATTACCAACAATGTCCTGTGCTGATAAGGGCACTTGCCCTTAACGCTGATAAGTGTACTCAATGATTTCTTGTGGAAGAAATGTGCGCAGGATATGGGATCTAGACCAGGGACGTGTGGTCAGGGGAGGCAGGGGAGGCAGAGCCTCACCTGTCATACTCCAATGAAAACAGCTGTTACGAAAAGTAAAAAAAAAGAATAATCAAATAAAATAAATATTATGATTTTTCCACTGATCCGTGTTATAAATGTCATTTTTGTACGATTCCTATAATTTTTTTAGTCAAAATCGCCAAATTTGCGGAGCTCCGCTGCAAATACAGGAAGAGACAAGAGGTGAGGCAGCGACGAGCTCAGCCTCCCCTCTAATTGCGCAACCCCTCAGTAACTGTATGGAGCGCAGGAAATAAGCGCGTGCCTGTTATTATCTCAGTATGTCACCAATGTAATTTTGTAGACCCCTTCCATACTCCAGGTATTTTTTTCACGTATGTGTATAAAGATATTTAGGCCCTCTGGTCTCGTCATGAAACTGCAATGAAAAAGTACCAGGGGAGGCAGCTATTACATCTGCCTCACTGAGGGGGACGTGTCTAACACGCCCCCTCCGTGAGGCCACGCCCCCCTCAGTGTGTGAATCTGGCTCTGACACTAGCCAGTGCCTCCCCAGCCATTGACCTCACCGCACGTCACTGGTCTAGACCATCTCCCTCTGATTCAACACCAGCAAACGCCCATCAAGTCCACTATGCAGCCATGCGACATGCACAGCAATTATGTCGAAGATATTTAATTGCCAAAATGGAGGGTGTCAAAGCACCACCAATAAGTTTACATTTCCTGTTGATGTTTGTGTTGTCGGCATAGGGCAATGAATACGCTTTGTATATATGCGCTGCATTCAATATTTTAAATGTGCATAAATATAATCTTGTCAATCACGAGATCTCGTTCCGAGTCGTGAGCAGGCGTGTGCATCCATGGTACCTCTGCATGGATGCATGCGTGCGTGTGTGTGTGTGTTTCTATGGGAAAATTATTTCCAGAGCAAAGCCAGTGATGGGTTATCACCAAAATACACGCTGCCATACACACCGCCGCGCACACTACCTAGTGGCACTTTCACCACAGACGAGGCAGCTCTGGCGAGAGTCAAGTTGTACGACAGAACCTCAACATCTGCTGCTCGTAAAGCTGACGCTCACCCTAATAAATATAAACGACTTGTAAATAATTTCACTCACGGCTTCATACAATTTTTAAAGTGTATTTCAAATTGGATGAATACACAGAATAGTCTTGTGCTGTGAAGTATCTGTTCAAAGTTGTAATGTTTAATCATCGCATTATTGACGCTAACTGTTAAAAAATAAATCTTAGATATAAATCAAGGGCCTGGATTGTGGTTTATATGCATAAACCAAAGTTAGTGAGTTCTTTGTGCTTAGGTTTTAAGACATTTCATATGAAAAGAAAAACACCGATTCCAATTACACGTGCGATTAGTTTAGAATAATTGATTAATTGATTCGTCATTATTATTCATGTGATATGTTCTCATAATAAGTGGCAAAAGTTATTTCCACTGTTTTAAATTGAACGCATTAATGTTCCTGGAAAATACCTTGTTTTTTTTGTTACACCGATGAAATCTATTTCCCGGAGGTGACGCGTTGACATTCGAGTTGTGAATCGTGCGGTATGAATCATGACGGCAATGGTGATGTCAGTAATGCTGTACACATAACAGCAACGACGACGTTCGAGTCTACACGTCGAGCACGTGTACGTTTAAAAATCCTCTCGCACAAACAAAATAAAAAGTCGATTGATACGCCAGACTTCCAGACGAAAAAAAAAACAGGGAGGGCAGGAGTCAAAGAACCCCACTTTTTGCCCGATCTATTTTTCTCAACCCCACATTTGATCTGCAAAGTGGCAAAAATTGGAGCTTACGTATGTGTACAGGGGGCCATACACACATAATGTGAAACACATGGACAACATCCAATTCTCAACACGTGGTCTTTCACCTTGTCTGATAATGGCCAGAAGCGAACATTTATTAAGCAAAATTGCCCGTCTGAGAAACCCAAGCCAGCCAGTCAAGCAGCAACAAGTACAAGGCCTGCATTGTAATTGATCTTTTGTTGAGCGGAGCTTCCTGGCGTGGGGGGCGTGGGGGTGGTGGTGGTGGCGCGGCGAGTGGAGTGGTGGAGTGGGTGGCACAGGGCTCTGGGGGGAGCGGGGGGCTGTGGGTTGGCGCGGCATTCGTAATCTTCAGAGGCGTTGTTACCTCGAGGCTCTGCAGGCGTTCCAAAAGGGCACGGATCTTCTTCCTCTCCTCCTCGAAGCCTGCGTCGCCCACCACACCGCTCATCTGCAGCTCCGGGATGACGGCGTCGGCGCTCCGCAGAGGCGGCGTGTAATCCGGGCCCGAAATCACGTCCTGATGGGCAGCGGGTGTCAGGGTTATCTCGGCAAGGAGTGCGTGCGTGCAGTGTGTGAGAACCTCGCCTAAGTCGCACCTGGTGCGGTGTGTAAACACAGCAATGTGGTGCTGGCCAGCTACCTCGACGTGCGCCGAGCCGGCCTTTATAGGCGCTCGCTAACAGGCACTTTTCCCATCAGCTGTTATAAGGCTATACGGATGTCTTTGTACGGTACAATATTTTATCTGCTCTGCGGCATAATGCGACGAAGTTCATTGTTTAGAGTGCCAAAGTCTTTTCCGTTTGTTGTTTGCCAACTGTTCCGTTAAGATTTCATTCAAGTGGAATCCTACAGTGGAGATCACATTTACTTCATCTTTACTTGATCAGCCTCCTTGCACCAAGCGTAAGCAAGCAAATTACACCCAAGCCATAACGCACACACGCACACACACACGCGCTGCGTAAATTGTGCCTTGTGTGAATTTTTTGTTTTATTTTACCACGTAAAGTCCACTGAGCTATATAGCTCAGAAGCAACCTGGCCACAAATGATAGCTCTTCGACGTGGCTTAGCACGTGGACATTTATAGCAGCCAAATACTCTTAAATGTATGTTTCTAAATGAGGACCAGGAGAAAAATCCACGCGATCACGGGGAGAATGTGCAAACTCCAAATATACAACAGGGTGAGAATCGAACACACGACCTCCTGCATAACAGGCGAGGCAGTTAACATCTTATAGCCACCGTGGCACCCTATTCCTGTGTCGAGGATAAAATCCACCACATTTAAAACAGCCATGCCACAAACGCTCAATAGGATGAACGTGCATTAATGTTGACATAAGTGTTTTAAGCCTCTTTTATAAATTGATATCCAAAGAAGATGATATCTGCCAATTTCCTTAAAAATCAAGCCCGTACCAGGTGCCAGGAAGAAGGCAACGTGTTAGGGTCTTAACAGAACTTTAGTTTTCTTTCCTCTGGATTACCAGCAGTAAAATGTAACTACGCTGACAGGCTCAAGCCAAAAACACAAGACTGCACAACTTCTCTGAGAAATGCGTTCATCCTTTGTTGGATTGGAGTCACAGCGCCAGACCCTTGTAAAAAAGAGCACAGCACAAAACAAAATGTACATGTACAAAGGCAACGTTCGCCAGTAAGCTGTTGACAGAGTACTTTGGGGCCGGATTTTGTCAGATCTCAAAGCTAAGCAGGGTCAGCGCTCCGATTGGTGACGGGCGATCATAGAGGCAAAATTACCGTGTCTTTGAGCAGAGTGCTGTCCATTTTTCTGGAACGAGTCTGTGGGAGGCATTCCCCTTGTCCAGGTCAATTGTTCAACCTATGCCCTAGCACGACAGGGTGCTGAAAGAGAAACTATTTAAAGAATCGGTGGTCCAATCTACCTGACAGGCATGAAATCAGCAGTGACATCCTTTGATATTTCACACAGTGAGAATGTTAACCCCGACATCCTCGATAAAATTCAACTCACAACCGAATGGAAACTTTTGTCCTGGCTACATATGCAGGGAACAGGGGAGTGGGGGTGCCAATTCAACCTACAAGAATGAACATTAAAAAATTTGTATCGACATAGTTGTTAAACGGCACAGAATAAACGGAAAACTCGTCAACTAAGGGACATACTCTTTGGTTCCATTCGGTAAAGTCACGTAGGTAAAAAATAAAACAACAAAAATCACGATGTTTCGGCCACAACACAAGCGGCCTTCATCAGGTGAAGGGATCAGGCTGTCTCGAGGACAGCGCTGGAGTGAAACACAGCCACGCTCAGACCGCGGTCAGGCTGTCCTCGAGACAGCCTGATCCCTTCACCTGATGAAGGCCGCTTGTGTTGTGGCCGAAACGTCGTGATTTTTGTTGTTTTATTTTTTTACCTACGTGACTTTACCGAATAGAACCAAAGCGTATGGATCCTTGCAGTCACGAAAGCTTCAAATCTAGAACTAAGGGACACTTTGTTGGGTAGCGGACGGTCCCCGGTGTGTCCAGACTCAGGGCCGGGTTGAAATAAAAAGCTTTTGCTCAGCAGAGCATGGCCTGGCGAGGAGACAGAAGACGCCCGAGGCTTCAACGAACGAGGCCACAGCACGAGCGGCTTCTTCACCGCGCATTCGACGCCGCTTATTTACGGAGGGCCGGGCGAGAATTTATGCGCCGCTCCTTAAGTCATTAGGCGACACAACGTGGCTAAAAACAGCCGAGTGATTCTGGACAAGCGGAAAAACGATCAGATAGCCGACTGGACAGCGGGGGGGATTGAGTGGCACACGTGCGCGCGTGCACACGCACAATCGGACGCACGCACGCACGGGCTCGTTCGCTCGCACGCTCGACTGTGCCCGCGACACGCCGGCTGATTCCCGAGTGCCACTGACAGATTGCACTGGGATCTCTCCCCGGTGACGACGCGCGTGCGGACAGGCGGAGGAGCATCGACGAAGCGTTTACACCTCACGAAAGGAAAAACCGCGAGCAAACGTCGCCCATCAAGGGATAAGATATATCTCGCTCCACGATAATCGTATACAGATCAACACATCTCTCACCAGCGGGGCCCCCAATAGACCCGCGTACCGCCCTTTCCTCCGCCGCCACCCGCACCCCACCTTAAACCCACCCACCACCCCCCTCTGGCACTCCCCCTCCCCCCCATTGTTTGATGGATAGAGGCAGGCACGGTCGTATTAAATATGCATGCAACAACTGAGCGTTCCAAGGACCCTTCCATAGCACCCATCAAGAAGGTCATCATCCATGGTAATTCACCATAAAGCCAGTTACGCTTTAACATGCTAAGCAATTTACTAATATCTCTCTCCTGGAGAGTGCATTTGATGTGCAATTTATATTGCTTGCAAGCACACACACACACAAGCATAGACGTGCCAACGCACGCACACGAGTGCACCCCCACACTCACCTAATGACAAATGTGGTGAAAACGTTGATATGTTCTTAGGGTTTCAAGTGGGAAATGTTAAGATTCATTGCTTCTCTGTACCAGAATGTATTGCTTGCAAAACACACAGCGTGTGGATTTTTTACATTCCTCACTTTCACATTGCTTAACAGTATAACAACAACGACGTGCAGGTCCTTTGTCCCACAATGTTGGCCACGGGGTTGTTTGGCCACACCTCACCCCAGGGGACACTGCGGGTTCGGGGTTTGCGAAGGGAACGCTTTGCCCAGGGCAGTTCGGAGACCACGGCGGTGCTTAAACCTCGCCTGAAGACACATTTATTCTCCCTCGATTTCACCTCTCTCAAAAATCTTCAATACTTCTGATTGTTTCTTCCCCTTGGCCAACAGACTATTGATTAATTTGTGGTGTGCAGTGCTTTGAGTACCTTCTAGAAAGGTGCTTTATGAATGTATTATTATTGGGGGAGGACTGGTTCAGATATCACTTACCGCCAATGATAGCCATGGCTGGCACTCGAACTCAGTCCACTGAGTTTAGAAAACAGTGAGAAACCACCTCGCAATCGCACCCCTTCTTTGCTTAACATGAAGTAAAAATAATCTTAAATATTTTTATGAATAAACTTATGCGCAGGATCATGAAAAAGGGCGATAGCTTGGGAAGGCGGCCTGCATCCAGCAGTAGACTGATCATGGCTGATGCTGTGAACTAAATATTTCTGCCGGCGCCATACGTTGGCACATTGAGGCGTTAGCATCTAAACGAGGCGAACCTATGTTCTTGGTTCTTTCGGTAAAGTGACGTAGAAGGGAAATAATAAAATAAATATTTTGTGAACCAATAAAATAATTATTTTGTGAAACAAAAAAAATTATTCAATTGTTTCCCTTCTACGTGACTTTACCGAAAGAACCAAAAATATGAATCCCCTGCAGTCACGAAAGCTTTAAATCAAACGAGGCGAAGCTAGTTATGGGTTCCAGATACAGCGCTCAGAATTGTGTGCAGCTTGCAGCCAGGGCTAGAAAGTGCCGTGGGAGCAGCATGCAAAAAACTCGCGGAGGGTAATTGAGTCATCCGTCTTCCCGACTCCCGACTCCCGCTGCACAATCGCTCAGGAGCAGTGTCGCACGCCCCCTGGCTCCGTGTTAAACGTGGGCCACGGGAGCGGGATCGGAGTCGGAGCCTTTAAGCACTGATCGCCGGTGCGTCTGTGTGAAACTGAACAAAGAACCCAATTGCAGGATTTGTGCTCTTAATCAATAAATAAAGTCGACAGTAAACACCCCAAAAATGTTACATTAATTAAAAGTGGTGCACATGTACAATAAAAGACGATCTCTCGTGAAATTACCGAAAATATTAAGAGCGCTTGGCCAAGTGCCCGCGTGGCAGAGAGGATTTGCATGAAGAGCGGCGCGAGCGGCGCAGGTCCTACAGGTACCGGCGAAGATCGGCCGAAGGCCTCGCAGGATCGGCACCGATTACAGCGAGGGATGGTGCTGCGGCCGTTCGCGGCGACGGGATGTCACGTCTGTGCCGAGCTACCAACTGTTACGCCTGCGCGGGCACCGCCACCACCGCAGATTGATTCCCTGCACCCGGTGTGGGTCTGGAGCCCCAGAGGCACGTAAGAAATTGAGATTTAAATATTGATGCGTGCAGGTGGCACGGAGTCCTAAATTATTGAGGAGCGCAGAGTTCTGCCCTGCCAAATAATAATGCGTCCTCCTAATGAAGCTTGAGCTTGGTCAATGCATCACATCTCGTTTCTTGGCCGCCCCATCGCGTGTCTTTCTTTGTGCCCACGTTCAGCGCCGTGGAGAGGGCCCGAAGTGACGAAGCGAGTCCCACGCTGGCAAGGAATAATGGGCCGGACAGGATTTTTTTTTTAGCTCAGCAAAAGTCTGGTACTTGCCATCACATTAATTTTAATAAACAACTCCTTAATGATCGAACGTGTTAATTAATTCATCTCACGAAGTTTTTAATGTAATTGGTAAATTAATCATTTGATTTAAATTGAGGAATGGCTTGAATACTGATCGTGCTTGTTTGAAGGCTTGATCTGGGTGTGGGAACAGTTTAACTGTCTAGCCACGTGATTCATATCACAGCCCTGCATGCATTTTACTCCCAACATACTCAAGCTCCATGATCCGTCTGTATCCAAACGACATGCCCACGTGAAGTTAAATATGACCCTCGCATTGATCCATTTGCTCAATAATATGTTTGTTATTCATTTATTTCAATTACCCTGGCAGTGATTCACAATATTGCGTGTAGTGCTTGCTTGTGTTTTCAGCACAGGGTTAGGAAGCATTACTGATTGGATGAGACAGTAAATATGTGTCTCATAAAAATGACGGAGCACAGTAAATAACCAGGGGCCAGGGAAAAATGCTGTGCATTCAATTATTCAATTACTTGCTTTTACCACTCGTGACATGAGCTGTCTGGGCAGGGCTGCAGTGACCCATTTTGTTAATCAAAGTACTGCTCAATCCACCCCATGTAATAATAATTAGTTGAATTAGAATTCTCAAACCAATGACACTTTATTCTCTAATACTGATTGAATTTAAGCAGATAAGATCATATGCATAAAAGACAATATCAATTTATGAAGTAATTCAATAAATAATGATAATACGTAGGTGATCTAGTAGCTCAGGAGGCAGCGACACTCTCTGAAGATCCTGGATTCAAATCCCAGTGTCAGCTGCCAACGATTAAAACGGGTTCTCACGCTTAGTGAGTTGATGGTCTCAGCCCAGTCACCAATGACTGTGCCAAACAAAACCCATCATATTAAGTTTGGTTTTCACTTAATTTAGGCTTATTTCAGAAAATGACAACATTAATAAATTGATCCATGCGCAACGAATACTATTTCGAGTGTGGACAAAGATACCAACTGAAGCGCCCTCTTCCATGCCTTTTCTCTGACACAGAGTGGTCCACTCCTTGCGGCAAAATGTTCCTAATTGAAATGCCTTCATCTTATGGCATGTCCGCTGATAATAGACAAATGGATTATATTTAAAAAATATATTCTTACTAAAAACCCATCTCCTCCTGACCGAGTTTGTGTTTATAGGGGCATGACCACCTGCTGCCACGGGGGACCAGGAAATAATTGTGGAATGAAATGTTTCAGCGAATTTTACCGCTGGGAAACAAAACAAATGACAGCGACTTCTTGTCCTGCAGCTACTCGTGAATTCATCCCGGCGCACACTTGGCAAAGCCTTTATAATTATATTGATGGCGTATATATCCATTCAAGATGATAAATCAGCGTGGAATGTGACCATGGATGCGACTCTCAGCGTGGTAACAAACAAGCCGGAGCTCGTGGCAAGCGCCAACCACCACCTTTCATCAATTTGAGCTCTTTCCAGGCAGTGTTGACACTCGCTTTCTCCGAGCCACTGCTGCATGCATGCATGCATGTGTGCGTGCATTCATGTGTGCGTGCATGCATGTGTGCGTGCATGCGCCTGCATGTCTGTGGAGAACGGGAGTGTAGTGGTTAGCACCGTGCTGTGTGATGAACCCGGCGACCCGCGTTCCATTCCTGCTCACGGCCAACACCAGTGACGATTATCTGAATCAGTCCTGGGCCTCCCCTAGGTCGACTCTACCTCAAATGAGTATTATACCTGATGCGATATGTAAACATCGCCACTGGAGAGACAAAGGCGGACGGGCGTGGTACTGGCCACCCACCCTCTCGTTTACCATGCTAGCCATCATAGGCACTCGTTAACAACGCTTGCTCCAATGGTCTGTTAAGGCTATACGGGGGATGTGTCTTCTTTCTGTACATTCATGGAGGAGGCTCGTGAAGGACGCTACTTGGCAGTTGGAGGCAGTCGCCCTCTTGTAACAACGGAGGGCGGAGGAGGGACGCTCACACCAACGAGCGGGTGGATAAAACACCGTGGGGAGAACAGGTGCTGCCTCTGCCAGTCATCTAATTCGGTTAATTCATAACACCTGGGGGACCCTCCCACGATTCCTGCCCAGCGAACCTTCGAAACTTCAAGTGATAGCCTCAAAGTGCACAAAGTTCTGTAATGGCATCACCGTCATCTCGTGGCGAATGACAGCTGCTGGTGTTATTATTATTATTGTTGTGTCAATGTGAACAAAAAGTGGGCATGCCGTACCTGGGCAGAAGAGCCATTGGCCGTTGCCTTGCCGGCCGGTGGGTTCACCCGACTCTGCCCACGCATCAAATCCTGGACCGTTTCTTCCATCCTGTGCCAGACAATGCAGTGCGAACACGCACACACACGCACGCACGCACGGACACAGAGACAAACCCCGTGAAATGTTGGCTTGTGTAGATTGCAGAGGACCGCGCTGTCAGAGAGCACCTATTACGCCTTGCGGAACACATGGGGAGCAGATGTCTCGCTTGCAAGCGTTTGCAGTTCACAACTCTGTCTCGCGACCACTGGGATTGCTGCTACATTACACAATTTACTTTAGGCTGAGTCGACCCAGAGGGTGACCATGCTGGGTGCATAAATGCGGAATTATGTGCTGGTCACAATTCGTAATCATTTCGACAAAAGGAAGGCTAAAAACTAAACAAATATATCTCAAGAGTAGTTATGGAAACATAGTTAATATCTTACTTGGTTATTTATTTATTTACAGGACAATTTATTTTAAATAAAAAACGAACCAAAAAATGTAGAAAGTTAAGAATATATACAGAAAGCTTGGGATTCTTAAACTTACTAAGAAGATGAAATTCTAAAACATCTATTTAAAGTATTATATATAGACGTCACAATTTACAGTTAAAATAAAGACAAATATATTCAGTTAAACAAGCACTCATCTCCTGTTTACTTTACAGTATTAGTGATGGTAATTCTACATTCCTATGGTGGGACAAGTCCATCCACAGAACGACCTAGAAATTAAAGAAAACAGCGAGTGACGAGTTGAGGAGCCCAGCAGGGCCAGCCTGCATTCGCATTCACTGCCACCATCCATCCTACTGGGCACGCTGTGACCCCACTCGTCGAATGAAATTGATTCTTCCACCACTCATGACGCACACACATTGAGCCGTGTGCGAGAACTGCTTGTTGTTGTGTTTAGTTTGTTGTCCTTCCCCCGCACCTCCGATTTAGCACGGCTGGCTACGCACGGTGCTAAATAGGTTTAACATACACATATACATACGTGCACGTTGCGGGGGAGGGGGGTTGGATCGGTGCACTTCTGATTCTGACCGCGGCTCAAAAGCCACCACTGCACCACAGCGCGTGGAACCACACTCGGGAACAACGAGCGCACAGCTTCACCTGCAGCCCCTTAACATCACAATACTCTGCGGAGTGCCAGCAGATGGAGCGAGAGGCGCAACGCAAATGTTTATGGGTTTCGTGGAAAGCAGAAAAAAAGCACCCAACACAAACTATTTTCTCCCTCCCCCTGCCCGTCAATCCTCAGCTGCTTTGTGTGGAGGGCGGTAGTGGTAGTAGTAATAATAACAAATAAATAAAACGGGTCTGGCTTTGGCGCGGGGTGGAAAAGGTTGCGAGGTGCGTCCACTGGTGCCGGCTGGCAGTCGTCGAGACACGGCGGGCTCGGGGTCATTTGGTCATTTCATCGGCCGTGTTGCTCAGTTGACGATTGCCGGAATGCCGCGCGGAACGCGGCTCTCTGACACCTGCGGTCGGCTCTGCTCTCCAGAGTCGTTTATCGGTAAGCGTTGGGGAGGGAGGCGGGATGGATGGGGGTGAGTGAGAGCGCACGAGCGAGCGTGAACTGGGGGGCTGACGGTGCGAGGCAGACCGTAACGTACACCCCCGCGATATTAAAGGTGTCTGGGGGTGGCTCCGTGTGTGCGTTAGAAGAACCGTGATTTTGACAGCATCATGCGAGCGCTTGTACGGAGGAGGCAGATTCAGAGTTCGCGCACCAGAAGCGACGGCGTCCGTGCGTCTGCGTTGTGACTCTGCTGCCCTCAGTTGAGCACGTGAGGATATTACATCTCGGGGACGACACCGCTTAAATATCACAGAATAACTCGAGCCGGTGCCGATATCAACACGATTTACAAATAATGCAATTTCTGAACTCATATATTATTATCATTGCCATCATTTGCATTATTACATGTTCACATAATTGTAATTTAATAATTTTATAAGAGATTTTTCTGACAAATGGTTTTGATGTTTGTAAAAACAAATAATTACCAGTTTAACACGTAGGCTTTACAGTTTAGCATAGTTTGTCCTTCGTACCCTCAAGCTTTGTGTAACGTGTCCACAAAAATAAATCTGGGATGACACATTACCCGGTAACATTTGGAGTATATTTCACAATGAGGATGTTACATTGTTGTTTTAATAACGTAGTCCGGGGGAGGCCTCGTGGGATGAAATGTCGCATACTTATTTATTACTGAAGTGGTGATGAAATTGTTGGTGTACTCTCTCCACCACCTCAAAAACACACCCGCAGCATTTGACTGGGCGCAGCAAGACACCCCCCCCCCCCCCCCAATAACCCTAAGAGGCCCGAACTGGCGTGTCACTTAAGCCCCCCGGCTCATGGCCTGCATGATTGTTTTTGTTCCCCAGGAACGCAAAGTACGCGGCCGTGAGATAAACAGAAACATCTGGGCGACACCGATTGCCACGTCAGCGAAGGGGAGTGAGCGAGCGCGGCAAGCAGAGAGATTGAGAGAACGAGAATGGATGAGCTTGCGAGAAGGGCAAGCTCAAGAGATAGAGGAGGATTTAGGGACGGGAGAGGGACGAGGAGCGGTGCGGGAGAGAAGGGAAGGAGGATTAGCAAGTGGGATTCCCAGCGAGACTTACGCCAGCACCATTCTCGGGGCAGGACGCAAAATTAAAACGCTGGGAGGGAATGAGACGCGGCCCCACAATGAGGAGCCGCATTTGAAAGGATCTCCTCGTGGCCTCTCGTGTACCTCCCCCCCTCACATCCACACCACCCAATATACCTCTGGCTATGGAGCACAAACCCATTTAATTACATTCCTGCACAATTTATACATTCACTGCGCAGAACAAATGCACGGAGCCTGCTTTTTGTCAAAAAATTCTCCCCCCAAAAAAATTGTTAAATGTAAGATTGAAAAATGTGAAGAGGGAGAGAGAGGAAAAAATGTCGAGCTAGCATCGATGTTTGGAAGGTAATTTATAAATGTTGCCCAGTTCGTCGTGTTTCAGAGACCAAATTTTACAGCAGACAGAAAGTATTGGTAATTTTATCCGCAACAAAGAGGACGCAAAGTAAAATTATTCGTGACAGTGCTCCTGACGCAAGCAGCATTACGTCCTTTGGATGAACTGCCGCACCAATTTCGAATTAAGACGGCGTAACAGCAATGGATCCAATGTACAATTTTGTGCACATGTAACATTTTATTAAAGTAATGCTATACACAAAAACATTTATCCTACGGTTCGGCCAACAGGGCCCTGAATGCACGAGGCGGCAGTCTGCCGTAAGGGTTTGAGAGAATATATTATTTAAAAATAATACGTTCGGGTTCACATTTTGTCCAAAACTGTTTCTTTAGCACCAAATGCGTGGGTTGTGTAAAAAAATAAAGGATTACGTGGAGAGATGGATAAATGAAGGCGTATCATCTGCTTATCTGTTTCGTTACTTATATCCTCCACAATGAGGCATATGAGTATCTTAATGTTATGTATATATTAGCACGTGCCCATTAATTCGTCCATACATTATCCTGAAATCCCCACACTTACCTTTCGCCAATATGTAACCGTGTAGAGCACTATTTCCACGGCGCACAATGCATCGCTAAACACCCAGATACGATCAAACGCACTCAAGCTGTGTGGCTGAAGAAGAGATGCATTTACGTTCTCCTTAGAAGCGCCATTCATCAGACGCACACGCTCCCGACATGAGGAGTGCACAAAAGCCGACCTCCACTTTTGCAAAGAGTGCCCTGTTCCAGTCCTTACAATACTCCCTCTCCTTCCACCCCTCCTGCTCCCACCAGGGATTGCTGAGCCAACTCCGCCCTAAACTGATGCTTCAAGATACGAGTGCCATTGCTCGTATGCACAGGTGTAGCGGTTTATTGCCACCGCGCAAGAAAACCCGTCGACGCGGGTTCGATTCCCACTCACGGTCAAGAGCAGTGAAGACTATGCGAACCGGTCCTTGGCCTCCCCTAGGTGGACTCGGCCTCAAACGAGTAACTGGTGCGGTGTATAAGCCGCAAACAAAGGCGGCCTGGCCTGGTGCTGGCCACCCAGCCCTTCCTGTGCCGTGCCAGCCGTCATAGGTGTTCGCTAAACAGAACTTGCCCCAAAAAGTCCGTTAAGGTTACACGGGGGAATGTTTGTCTGGTGTGGAATATGTGGGGGGCGTGTGACATACGTACCGCATGTTGAACTTCTTCTGCGCCGTACGTAGCCAACCGTGCCAATGAGTATGCGCGCGCGTTTTAATATCACCGCATTATTGTTACTTTCATTTTCGTTTGAACAACCTTCATTACAGCACGGCTCCATCCTCTAAACACAACGGCAGCAGCAGCAGCGTCAGCCGGAGACGTTTACATTCCTCCAGCAGCTGTTGGCATGCAGAGCGTGGCGCGCCGCCTTCCAACATCAAAGTGTCCGTGCGCTCTGGCCCACAGTCACGTTTAAGGCCGATAACGCAAAACCGCCGATGCTGTCGCAAGGGGAATTCAGTTGACGATTTGTTCATTCGTTTCTCTTTAAACGACTCAATTTCGAAGATTACGACTCGCTTCCCGTTAACTTCCACACGCCGCTCATCGCCAAAAGCACGGCCCATGGTGCAGGTGTGAACCATCCGATAAGTAGAAAAAGCTTTGACGTCTCAACATCAATGCACTCACTCAATTCAATAATCAGCACATTAAATAAATGTGGCTTCAAAATCAATCAAGGGCTAGGTGGTTAAAAGACAACGTATCCCAATGATCTCAGTGCTTACGAGCGGCTTTCATAATTCTCTGCCTCGACACTCTGTGCTGCAATCAGGGAATATTCATTGGCACTTGGCCTACAGAGTTTCAGAAACAGATTCGCAGTAACCTTCTCCGTCGTGACGCACGCAACCGCTCGGTCAGCTCGATCGAAATTACTGTGCGACGATTAAGATGATGAGTGTCATGGTGGGGGTCGGTGTTTGGAGGCTGCTTTTTCTTCAACAGTTTTAATGTCTGAATAGTTTCTACCCAGTTTCGATTCGTC